TGGTTTGCGTGTTAAAATAAGATAGCCCAAAGGCATACTTATTTGTATTATTGTTGGCGGACACGGATTTGGCCAGGGAAAGCAAATTATATAATATAACCCAGTGTTTTTCAACCTATGGGTCATGACCCTCCGGAGGGTCGCAAAAAACCTCACTAATATTACGACGAATTAGAAAATAATTACATATCGGTGAGTGAATTTTTGTCGTACATCCGAGAGTCCGGTCGTGTTTATTGAATCGCGTAAATTTAAGACTCGTAAAGGTTGAAAAACACTAATAAAATTAGCCGATGAAAAGGTTCAAATCGAAACGACGGATAAATATCGCGGGAAAGCGAGTGCAGGCGACTGTGTAGTATGATTTTTGTTTTATAAATTGACGATTTATTTGATTATACAATGATTGGAACATTTAATATTTGATATTGCAAGGCTGCGAGAAGCGTAAGCACGGTTAACACGTTAAATTTATTGAATTCATAAAACTTGCACGTTATTTACTATGTTTAAATCTCTTCCAAGCTTTATATATCCCAATATGGTGGTACGTCGTAGTTTTAGTATAATAAAGATTCCATTCTAGAAATCTTTATCACATATTTTTCTGAATTTAAATTTTTTTAAACACAATTTCGCAGATGACGTAGTTTATTTCTTTAAGTTTCTTGTAGTTACCAAATTTGTTAAATTTATTCACATTCAAACTTAAAACATACTTAGTTACTCTTCAATAATAAACAACACAGTTCAAAAAAAATTTATATCAAAACGAAAATACAACTTTGTAAAGTGTTGATCTCAGCTTTGGCATTTTAGCCATCTTCCTTGTGAGTTTGATCACAAACATATCGATAAAAATTCAGCATTCAACAACCTATCCTGTAAGTAGGGTAGGCAGAAAAAAGAAAATTTGTTACAAAAATTTATTATTCCTGTCACGATGTTCTTGAATCGTAGAAGTTTCTTCACTTTGTAGTTTGTTACGAATTCTAGTCATGTAGCGGCAAATAAGCTTACAAGAGTTACGGATGCGTTACCAGCTAATAAAAAGATAAGGGAAATGGTGTCCAACATATATTCTTTAGCTGATGTATGAACACTATTCAAGGACATATACAATAAAATGTTGAAAACAAAAAAATGGAAAATAGGATGCATAGCGTAAGCTTCAAGTATGTGTACAGTGGCTGAACTCCGCGGTGTTCCATTTCAAGACAAATTGTCTTATTCAATGCAACAAGACAAACTCCGCCATCACAAATAACTAATTAGATAGCAGTGTGAGGGGATCGTAACAAAAAACTACCTTTTTTCATAGAAATACATTTATAAGCTGCGATGTATTGGTTTTTGTTGCGCGTCTTTTAAATTGTTATTCTTTTAAGATGGAACACCGACAGCGTCCTCGAGTGTACAGCAAAACATCTTGTGGATTTTTTATAACCTTTTAAACTAGCTAGGCTTTAGCTAGTGTCGAGGTTTAGGCTAAGCACCTGCGCTCGGCCACATCAAGTCCGGTAAAGCTGTATATGTATCTTAAAGGCAAACAGTGACAAGTCAGTCACAAAAAACTAGCTAGTGTTGTTGATGTTGTGTTGTGTTGGTGTGTTGTATTGGTGTTGTTGTGTTGTGTTGTTGTCGTATTGTGTTGTTGTAGTGTTGTGGTGTGCGGGGCGGTGCACGTACCGTAGCTGCCGTATCCCTGCGCGGGCGGCTGCGCGTGCTGCGTGTAGTTGTTGGTGGCGGGCCAGGCGGGCGCGTGCGGCGGCGCCTGCGGGGCGGGCGGCGCGCCCCAGCCCTGGTAGTTGCCGGGGCCCGCGCCGCCGCCCGCCGCGCCGTACCCCGCGTACGACGTCTGCCCCGGGGACGTGCCCCACCCTTGGTACCTGCACCACATTACACTTCAATACTCTGCTATCACTGTACTTAACACAAACTACTACTAGTAATCTCTATATTTCATTCTTTAAGCGTCGCTGGCTCAGGGATTAAGCACTTTTCTTAATTTGATATTGTCTAGTGATCACTAATTAATCATAATGAAACGATACCTTACTTTGGTCTTTCGAGTCAGATATTACTAAGTCTGTGTGATTGAGTACTCACCCTTGCATGATGTTAGGTCCGGCCATAGGCATATTGATGGGTGGGCCTCCCATCTGTCCGTTGTGGCCCTGAATCATGTTGATGGGCGCGGCCTGCGGCGGGCCCCACTGCCCTGCGGCGGGGGCGTCCCCGGGCGCTCCGCCCATCGCGCCGCCGCCCATACCGCCGGACCCGGAGCCCAGCTTGCCGGACCCGTCGCGAGGCTCCGCGCGCTTGATTTCCACCTAATAGTATACGAGAAATAATGATCGCGTTTCGAAACAAAGTTTGTATACACAGCTGTTGCCCGCGACTTAACCCGCGTGAAATTAAAAAATTTAGCCTGTGTTACTGACAACGTAGCTTTTATTGATGAAATATTTTTTTAAATCAGCCCAGTAGTTTTTGAGTTATTTAAATACAAATCTTTCTTCTTTATAATATTAGTATAGATTTTGTAAATGTTAAAATGTTGCAAACTTTGTAGGCTCTATAGCTTATAGAAAGTTAAAGAGTATATGCTGGTCTGCGTTACTGTACCACAAACATCTGAACGTACCGACAACAGAAAAAGTTGAGGGCACTGCCTGGATGTGGACAAATATGAATAGGTTAAGGCAATAAAAAGGTTTAAACATTTGTCTACATTTCGAAGGGTTGCGTGAAAGGTGATAAAGAAGGGAGTGATGACTAAGATGACGAGTGATATTTGAAGGATGAAAACCCGTTGCATCGACCCTACGGATGTAGGATAAGGCAGGGGAGATGATGAAACATTTGGCTATAATATTGTAATTACCTGTTTGCCGTTAAGGTTGATGAAGTGCTCCTGAGTCACTCTCTCCACTGACACCTCGTCCTCGAACGACAAGAAGCCGAAACCTAAAAAACATAAAAGATCTTTACCTTAGCCATCCTTTAGCCTAGATTAGATTTTTCAAGAAATGTCATTTTTCCTTTCGTCATTGCTTCTTCTATTAGCAAAAATAACCAAACATCAGTGGACTTAACTATCTATCTTTTAATTTAAGAAATCAGTTAAATGTTTAGTATAACATAATAATTTAGACTAGTTTTAACCTAAGTATTTTTAACCTTAATTTGTAACATTGCTGCTAAATTCAGACTTTCCCCACGATTTTAAAAGGAGTGATCGTTTGAGCATTAACCCATATGCGCAAAATTAAGAAAAACAATTAATAACCTATGTATTCGATGCTAACTTTCATGGAGATCCATTTAACCTTCTAACATCCATCCATCTAATTCACATTCATTAGAGTTGGATTGAAATTATAGTAACGTAAATTAAACAACATTGACCAGCCGAAAGCCACCACTGAAAAGTTTCGTATCTAGTTACACAATGCAATTAGGATACATGCTGTAAAGTTTGAAGAATCAAGGCAACAGTGTGTACTGCCAAAACACTCACACAAAATCCTTTTCTCGTATATTTTCGTGTAAATGTTTGAGCAATGTAAACCGTGATAGATTCACTAGGCGACAAAAGCCACATTGGTTCAACATCAATTGTAGAATAAGTTGTTTTAGAATTTAGGTTTTCATTGTGTACATAAATATGCATTTATTATATGCAGGAAGACATGTATTTATTAAGCACAGATTTTTATAAATATGATATTCAAATGTATCATTTTTTTATATACTTATAATAAATATACATCTACAACAGTCCATTCAGTTTATACAGTTTGTACAAAACTATTACATACCTTGGCTTCGTTTGCCTTGGTGAAAAAGAGATAATTTGTTTAACAAAATCATCTTCATTTTACAATTTACTGATAGTTCCAATAATTTCTCGAACAATTAGCTGATGAACTTCAATTTATATGAAGCTGTTGAGGTTTTTTAAACTAAACTAACTTTATTAAAATCATAGAGAAAGCGAAAAATATTAATTAATTAGACAAAGCCTAAATGGTACAAGTAAAGAATAATAAAAAATTTTGCTAAGCTAAATTAAAGGCATACTAAGCCAACAAATCTTCTAAAATATAACATGTTATATACAGTTTTGAGTGTTTATAGTTAATGAAAACTGTATAAAATCTAGATGATAATCAGATGCTCCAATAGCCAAATTTACTTATACGCCAAACCCATTTAAAAATCTATGTTGAGTTGCTATTTCTTAATATGTCTTCTTTTTTTAGATGGTTAATTTCCATGAAACTTGTTTTTTTTTCTTCACAACATTACATCAAGTTAATCGATTTGGCAATTGAAACATCGATCTCTTAATGATTCAATCGATTTTCTTGTCGAATCTAGATAAGCTATGTTGTGTGAGGTTAGACAACAATGTTAAGTTATATTTGTGGGTAGTATGCGAGATAACTTACCTCTGGACTTCTTCTTCTCCTGGTCGTACATGATGACCACCTCCATGACCTTGCCGTAGCGGCCAAAGAACATGCGCAGGTCGGTCTCGGTGATGTTGGAGGGCAGACCGCCCAGGAACACCTTGGGATAGCCTCCGCCACGCTTGGGCTTCTGCAGCGTGCGCGGGTTGCACGGCTTCGGGTCGATGGTTCTATGGAAAAAAGGATATTACATTTTCTTTCTACATTACATCCAACATGAAAAAGTAGTCTAGAATCCCCTATAATGACTTTCAACTACTAGTAATCGCCCACAAATTCTTCGGCATGTAATTAAAAAAACTGTAGCTCATATATCGCAAAAGTTAATAATTTTAACAGGCTGGATAGAAAACTATGCAGTAAAAAAAACATCCATACACCCAAATAACGTGCTACGATGAAATCGATACAATGTTTTCTTCATTCGTATTCAACGATCAGTGGCTCAGTATAACTACGAACAACATAAATTCCCAATATATTGCCATACCAATGTTTTAATTACCCAATAAACTAGGAACGCGTGTTACTGCTAAGTGTTGGAACACGTGCATAGGGTCGGTCGCATAGGGGAAAGTTAAAACAAAATGGAGGGATGCAAGTTAGGGTGTATATGGGAAGCCAACGTCATTCTATTGCATGATTAAATTACAAATGCGGATTTTTACTTATAACAATACTACTAAACGTTGTCACAATGATTCATTGTATCAGAAAAACAACTTCCTGAAGATAATGAATCAAAAGTTTTCCTGTAGGATTAAGTTAAAAATGTGAATTTTGTATATCACAGATTTCAAATTAATTAAAACAGTAACCGTTTCTCTGATTAACCTGTTTCAATTCCTTGAATCGACAATTGTGGCATATTTTGCGTAGGTCGATGTTGGCTTCGCAGGTTGATTGTGCGGACGTGAACGTGGGCGTTTGATAAAGGTTTAGCTTTAATCTAATAAAATTTATTACGGAGATCTAATAATGTAACATTGTTTAACGCAGACTAATAAAATATAACGGAGATTTATGCATGTATCAGAAATGCCACAAAGTCATCGAAGCGTTCATAGAAGGTGTCATCGGAGTGACGTTTGCCGGTCGGTCGGCCCCAACCATTGAACTCCGGTCAGAATAGACCGGATTCTTATCGAAACCGGGACTTTGCGGCCACTACTATTGTTAATATAATTATAATGACACGTTCCTTTTCAAGGATACCTTAATCATCGTTAGAACTCTTGCATATGTAAAATTTGAGACATATTTCCTTAACCAATCCATAAAGTTATTTTTTTTTGATGTAACATATGGCAAAATTATTGATGTATTCACAAACAACTGAGGTCGGCCTCCTAATGTAGAGGACAAAACTAAACCGGACGGCGCGTACTAACGACTTTTTTATAACTATAATCGTGAGGGGCATTGCCCTGGTGGTATAGTTACAAACGTGGTCTACTATAAATGGAAAGCAATATTAGCACAATACAAAGGTCTTCTAAACTATCAGGCAAGCCGTTTTCAAGATGGGAATTAAATTATACCTTGATAATGCTTCCTAAAGTTATCTTATTTATCTATAAAAAACATAATAATGTACGGAAGTGCAATAACAATGCAACTGCACAGGTATTTTTCTCTACCAACATTAACAAACATAAAACTTGTATAATATATTTCTATTTAACTTCTCTCAGTATTATTCCAGATTAAAAATGTATAACAAATCTTTACAATATCGCACTCCAAATTTGCAACATTTCCGTACATTGCAGTCTCGATAAATTAAAAAAGTTCTGTATAAAATATATCAAAAAACCTATTTTTTGGGTGATAAAGAACTAAAGAATTTTTGGAGTAAAAAAGGATGGGTTAGCTGGAAGTGTACGATACGCCTGCGCTCTTCCTTGAAAATTTCTATTGATTGCGTTTTATGATATCCCAGGAAGGCCGGGATATTGTTCTTGGTAATTGAACGCCACGAGGATAGTACAATATAATCCATTACGGATTCGTCTAATGGATTATCAATCCATAGTCAATTACATTAATATTTGCTGCTCGTTCACATAATTACAAAAATCCACTACATTACCTTTCAGAAACATCTCAACGTAATCCATTTTTTTTATTACAATTTTAATATTACCTCAATTGATACAAATAATTATAAGTATTCACTTATATTATAGCGAGGAAAATTTTGCCATTATAAAGCTGCATTTCCATTGAGTAGCATAAGCTATTTTTTTTAATTCCACGCAGACAACGTCGCGGGGGAAAGCTAATCTGAAATAAACTGAGAAGTTTTGATAATAAAACAATCCCAGCGGTTACTGTGACAAGTTAGATGCAAGTGCACATGTCCGTTGCAGCCTCCAGCTCTGCACAGCCCTATTGTTACCAACGACAATTGTTTTTGTGTTCATTGTCAGACGGGACGGCTGTTTGCATTTATTATTCACGGCTTACAATATAAAAATTGCTTGTAATAGAGATTAAATAACTTTAATTTTTTTCTTTTTAAACTTTCACTCGCGAATTCGTCCGCGGGGAATTAAAAAACAAAATTTAAATAGCCTATGTGTTCTTACAGACTATGCTCTACATCTATGCCTAATTTAATCGAGATCCTTTCAGCAGTGTAAGCTACAAACATACGTCTAATCTTTCAAATTTATAATATTAGTAAGATATGAGTTTATTTAAAGAACTTATAATGTATTTTACAATTGTTCATTCTATTTGATCAGTCATGTTGGACTTTACGCCCTCATATTAAACTATGAAGTTATTAGATAGAGTCCTTACTTTTCTCAGTCTATTCTTAAGTACACGTCGATTTACACCTAACGAGGCGCGTGACCTTAATGCAAACTTCGCATAACTGCCCTGCCCTCAACCAATTCATAGCAACGCATTATCCGTTCAGGAATTCATAAAATAAGGCACCGCCAATACAAAATTACATTGTAATTAAGTGGAAATTACCATATCCTAGAAATCTTTACCACTATTAGAGGTCTATTCATAGTGAATAATAAAATTGCAATAACAGATAAAGAACCCTGTTTTAAGATTACCAAATATGGTGGATAATACTACTTTTAAAATCTCTACACACGCAATAGTCCCCCGAGTGTACAGCGAGTATCGATTTCTTATCTACTCGTTTAGAATATATCAGTCGTGCCCCGTTGTACAGAGTTTCTCGACCTTCTTTCATATTCATTTTCGACGTGTAATGTACGAAATCATTAAAACTGTAGATAAAAATGGTCTATACTGAACGTCCCATTCAATGATAATTAAATAGTAAAATTCTTAACCCGAAACTATATAAAAAATTATATTAATTACACTTTTAGGAGAATAACTTTGGTCACAATCGGATATCGTGATTTTACCTAATTGACATTCTACCTCATAACTACAAGAAAACCATTACTATCTTGTTTATAATTGTTTATATACAATTTAATTACGTAATAAACGCAATTTCTAGAATAGTAATCGTTAATTTTGAAAATTACAACGAAATTCTACAAAACATTTTTTACTCAAGTTTTAGTGGGGACCTTGTTGTAACATCTACTCCTAAAGAGTTCATTTTTGTACGAAATTGAAGCCCTCCGGCTCTTATTTTTAATTGGGTCACATTAAAGTTTGGGAACCTCATGAATACGGGACATATGCTGTGAATTATATTCTTAGAAGGTTAAAAAAGCGCGCGCTTTTCATACTCGATAGCGATAGTTCCTGGAGTCGTGATTATAATCAACCGTGGCACGTGTCAGTCAGTAGCTGCAAGAGATAGCGGCGTGGATTCGACCGCGCGGTGAAGGGATCGCCCGCACAACCTTGGAATGTTATTACAATGTACGCATGGTTTTTCGCTAGATAACCTCACTCGCTATCACTACAACGTCACTTTTAGGCCTTCATTATACTTTGTATCTTCTTTTTTAATTCATTTTACGATAAAGTTTTTTTGTTTTTTTTTTAATAAATAGCTATTGCTTGCAACTTCGTCCCCGTGAAATTAAGAAATAATAACAGATATAGCCTATGTTACTCACAGATAAATTACATTTTTAACGGTGTAAGAATTATTGAAATCGGCCCAAGTAATTTTTGAGTTATTTCAAAGCATACAAAAATTCAAATCTTTCCTCTTCATAACATTAGTGTACACTACTACTATTCATTCGTAAAAAATCGTTCTTCAATTAAACTATTGAAATTTGTAAAATACCTACCAGATGAATCAGTACTTCCTAGTACTCGCCTCTTGCGTATATCGCCCACACAAATATTTCAGTTCACTGTATATCTACTATCTCATCCACAATAGAAAAGCTTTTTTATTCCTTTGCACAAGAATCAAAACACAACTAATTTTATACATAAGTTTTATGAATGAAGAAAATTTTTCACCAAAAAGTTGAACACCATCCAATCTGATAGACAACAGCGCCATCTATGTGGGGATTTATTAAAACCCAGATTGGTAATTATATGGTGATTGACCAAAAGAGGTTAGAGGTTATCAATGTTATGCTTCCAAGTGCAACAGTGGTTTGAAGTTATTTTATATTAAAAATATATGTATAAAGACATTTAATAAGTGTGATAACTTAACAATTCCTCCTTGAGACCATAAGTTATTTGGCAAATCATTTACAACTAACCTGCCATCGAGTTGATGTGGTCCATTCTGGAGCACTACATTAACAAGGCTGGGTTCAGCAAATGTGACAAATCCAAAGCCCCTCGAGCGGCCAGACTCGCTGTTCTTCATCACAACGCAATCGATCACGTCGCCATAACGCGAGAAGTAGCGCTGCAGATTCTCCTGTGAAGTTTCCCACGACAGACCACCGACAAACAGTTTTCTGTCGAAGAAACATATTTTTTAGAATTAACATTTATATACATTTAATTGCAGTTATTTCAATAAATAAATAAATATGAACTGCTATTATGGGTGTTGAAAAGAATTAAGAAACAAAGGAATGAATAAAGTTCAGTTTTGTGTCGAATAACTATGACACTTTTCTAAAATGATGTTTTTATAGGAGTGTTCCAGTAATGGTAAAAACATTGTAAGTTCTAAAATTGACGAAATACTGTTATGTAAATAATTGTCATTGATTCAGTTAGTTCTTTAAAGAAACCTTTACAATGAATTAAACAAAAAAGATAAAGTGAAAGAAAAAAATCAGTAATCAGCATATTAGTAAAAAAAAAAACAAAAAAAATGAATTTAATGAAATAGAGATTACTTGCATGAATCAAAGTCAAATTGGGTACTTTCACTTCCTACTAAAGATAACAATATATTCATGTAAAAATTTTCTAACACTTCTCTGTATATACTGATGATTTTCAATTCAGACAAAAAAATTACTGAAGAAACTATAGGAAATAGAAGATTTCAGCTATCTTTGTTAGAATTGAGATGAAATTCTTAAGTTAAGTGAACCCAATCTTTAGCATATAAATTTCGTTTATATCACAAATTTAAATATAAACATACAAATGATGCAAGATGATAGTGATGGGTAAAACTGTTCCAGCAATGTTTGTATTAATTATATTCCTTCAAATACATGTTTATAACTTTTTTATTCATTATCTCTTACATAAAACTTGTAACTTATTATTACAAGACTTGTAATGTGAATGTACTAATATAGGGAAAACCCAACAAAAACCCTAACAATTTAATTGGCTAATAAATTACTATATAAAAATGTGTAAACAAGCCCAATGTCAAAGAAATAGATGTGAAATCATTGTATATGAGAAACAAACAACTTTATCTGTCTTACTTATTATTATTTAAACTTTATATTGTATCCTATAACTAACTTTTAATATAAATGTGAACTGTGCAGTGCCAATATAAACATTGTATGTTTAATGGCACCAAGTTGTGTTAACACCACTATGTAAAAATGTTTTCGTTGAAATAAATTAAATAAAATAAATAAAAAAATACTACTTATTGCTTTATGCTTGGTACACACTTGGCTAATACAGTTTGACAGTAGCACAGACAAGACATGGACTGTGAACTCACTGGCACA